GTGACTCTGCTGAGCCTCCAACTCACTGTCCAGAAAACTAACACATTAAATAAAGATTTGTTATACAGCCTGCACCGTTCATGCTGCCGACAGACACGCAGGGTCACGAGGGATTGAACCCGGCACTGTTTTAGTCACAGAAACCTTTTTATCTACTTGTCCACTCTGCTAAATAACATCACAGCGATGCTATTACTGGAAATGAATTAGTCTTATTTCAGCTAAAAGCTATGCAATGTAATACCAACTGAAGGTATTAACTTAAGAGGATAGAGAGAGGCTAAGGAGAGATGGTCATCACTTTAAAATAAATAAATAAAAACACACAAACTCGCTCATCTCTCGTATTAATTACAGCATTTTTCTCCCTCTGTGTCTCCACAGGAAGACAGCTGCTGACCAGAGTCTGACAGCAGGTATTAGTCAAACCACAAACTCTATAAAATGTATTTTCCTTATTACATAAAAGCAAAAATGTCCATTTACTTTCCCTGAAACAAATCATATCCAGGGCTGAATATTTATCAGATTTCAACATCATGTCAAAAAGCTTTGATCGCATTATCAGGAACAAAATAAATGTCTTCCTTTGGTCTTTTATCACAGTGAGGTCAAAGAAGTGCACTTATTCTAACATCAATCGTAGCTCCAAGGTTACTGGAGTCCAAACACTGACTCTGAACCACAAATTAATTTCAATGGACAATCTTTTGATCCTGGTCAAAATGTTTAAAATGGATACCACATCAAGAGTTGTTTTTACTGCTCCCATAAGAGATCAGATTTTCCCCTCTCACATCTGCTTTTAATGACAGTGTGAAGCCATCAAAACACAATAAATCCCACGGTTTAAAATTAATGTCTAATTCGTGGCAGCGTAGCCGGAGTCTTACATCAAACGTGCATCTTTCAGGTCACATTTAACTTCAGGGAAATGGACAACAGAGCGATAGTGAGGTCAGTTTTTTGTCATTTATAGTGTTAATTCGAAGCAGGGCTCAGAAATAAGGATTGCCTGATTGCCCACGGCAAGTAAAATGCCACATTGGGCTCGTCAATCTGGCAACTCACTTACCTAAATTGGTAAAAAAAGAACTTTGTTTGTCCAGAGCTGAAGATGCACATAGCTAAGAAGTGAGCCATGTAGGTAGCACATGCGCAGTACTGATCTGGCACTTTTAAAAAAAATGGTGGCAGGTAAAAACAAAGTTAATGAGCCGAGGCGCAAGAGAGCATTTCAGTTATCCTGGAAAAATGAGTTTAGTTCGGGGGCTATGTATTGCACAATATGACGCAACTTTGAGATCAAGACAGATAAATACTTACAGATTAAACATGACAGTTAACTAACTAGTAGTCAATGTTATTTGATAACTGCTAATACATAAAACAATCTGTGTAGGGCAAAGTAAAAATTGACTTTGGGCGAGTAGATCTCTGACCCAGAAAGCTATTTACCCAAGGTCAATTTTTGTTTTATTTAAAACATTAACACTGAACTCTGTTATGGAAGCAAAACTTAACATGACATAACCAGTATGTGTCTGAAAGCAGATTTTAGGAAACAGCTTAACAAGGTTACAGGGCAACAAATAAAAAATAATCCTCAAAAAATGAATAAATAAATAACTAAAACAATTATCTGAGGCTTGATTACATGGCAGGTTCAATGACACAGACTATTAAAGCCATAAATAAACATGGTGTACACGAGCCGGGACAATTATCTTCATTATTGATTCATCGTCTAGTTATTGTCTCCACTAATTGTTTGTCCCATAAAGCATGAGAAGATTGCGTCGTCAAATGCTCATCACAAGTTCCCAGAGCCCGAGATGACCTCTTAAAATAGTTTGTTTTGTCTGACCAACAGTTTAAAACCAAAATATTTAATTTATGATCATAACAAGACAAGAAACAGAGAAATCAAAACAGAAAATGACACCTTTCCCTTAAAAATGACTACAAACAAACAACACACAATAAAAAACATTTGCTGATTAATTCTCTGTCAGTTGAGTTCTCAATTAGTTTTGTAGTTCCTGTATGAGCCTCTGAAGCGCTGTGACGACACCATGAGGGATCATTTTAGTGATTAATATGGGCTGCAGTCGTCTGCTCAGCATCCCACGTGTCTGAGCTGTTCTTTTTTTAACATTCAGGTCAGTTCAGAAGTTTGATTTTATTTAGACAAGAATATTTTACAGACTGTTTTCACAAGCTGAAGAATGCAGAACTGCAGAATGAGCGAATAAGTAAGCAGACTGTGTGTCAGATTTGTACTATTTTCAAGTAGAGCTGCAACAATTAATCCACTGATCAATTAGTTGTCAACTATTAAATTAATCATCAACTAATTCGATGCTTGATTTATTGGTTTAAGTCATTCTTAAACCAGAGAAGTCACAATTTTCTGATTCTGACCCTTCAATGTGATTTTTTTCTGGTTTCTTGAGATTACGCTGAATATTTTTGGGATTGTGGACAAAACAAGACATTTGAGAACATCTTTCAGGGCTCTGAGAAACACTGGTCAACATATTTCACCACTGACAAATGAGTCGACTTTGAAAATAATTAGTTTCAGCCCTATAGTGAAGGTAGAGAACGAACTTTTGGAGTATTTTACAGTGTTGGTCTGATAAAACAAGTCATTTGAGGACGTCTCATTGAGCTCTGGGAAACTATGACTATGAAACTTTTTACATTATTTCCTGACATTTCTACTATTAAATAATCAATAGATGAGTCAATAATTAAAATAAGCATTGGTGGCAGCCATGGATGTATTACTGAACATGCCTACTGGGCACAGGTCCAGGGCCCAAAGTGTCAGGCGCCCACTGGCCTTCACAAAATGTCACTCAAATGAACACACACTGACCACAAAGAGACACAAAAAGACCACAGAGAGATACAAAGGAACTGCAAAGAGACAGAAAATAACTACGTAAACAGGGAAAACAACCACAAATAGACACAAAACGACAACAAAGAGACACAAAACCAACAAAAAAAGGCACAAAATTACCTCAAAAGAACAAAAAAACAACAAAGAAACACATAACAACCACAGGGAGACACACAATCATCATAAAGACACAAAATTATCTCAAAAAGACACAAAAGGACTACAAAGAAACACGAAACAACCACAAAAAAGACACAAAACCAACAAAAAAGACAAAATTACCCCAAAGAGACACAAAACGACTTCAAAGAGACACCTAACAACCACAAGGAGACACAAAACCAACAAAAAAAGACACAAAATTACCTGAAAGAGACACAAAATGACTACAAAAAGACAGGTAACAACCATAAGGAGACACAAAACCAACAAAAAAGACACAAAATTACCTGAAAGAGACACAAAATGACTACAAAGAGAAACAAAACAACTACAAGGAGACACAATACCAACAAAAAAAGACACAAAATTACCTGAAAGAGACAGAAAACGACCACAAAGAGAAACAAAACAACTACAAGGAGACACAAAACCAACAAAAAAAGACACAAAATTACCTGAAAGAGACACAAAATGACTACAAAAAGACAGGTAACAACCATAAGGAGACACAAAACCAACAAAAAAGACACAAAATTACCTGAAAGAGACACAAAATGACTACAAAGAGAAACAAAACAACTACAAGGAGACACAATACCAACAAAAAAAGACACAAAATTACCTGAAAGAGACAGAAAACGACCACAAAGAGAAACAAAACAACTACAAGGAGACACAAAACCAACAAAAAAAGACACAAAATTACCTGAAAGAGACACAAAATGACTACAAAGAGACACGTAACAACCACAGAGACACAAAACCAACAAAAAAAGACACAAAATTACCCCAAAGAGACACAAAACGACCACAATGAGACACAAAATGACTACAAAGAGACAAATAACAACCACAATTAGACACAGGACTAACAAACAGAAACAAAATGACTGCAAAGAGACAAATAACAACCAAAAGGAGACAAAAATTTACCCCAAAGAGACACAAAACGATTACAAAGAGACACAAAACCAGCAAAAATGACACAAAATTACCCCAAAGAGACACAAAACGACTAGAGACACAGAAGAACCACAACTAGACACAAAACCAACAAAAAAAGACACAAAATTGCCTTAAAGAGACACTTAACAACTACACAGACACATAACAATCACAAGGAAACACAAAATAACAAAAAAGACACATGAAACGACCACAAATAGACACAAAAAAACAGCAAACCAAGTCTGTGTGTCCTGCTCCTATGTAGGAGAGGTGGTGGGGCCCTCTGTGTATCTGTGCCCAGGGGCCAGCTGTCTCATAATGCACCCATGGCTGCAGCCCCACCATGAAACTCAACATGTGCTGACATGTTAACAGCTTCACCTCTGTGACCCTGATGAAGGTAACGATCTGGACAAAAGTGGAGCTGAAGTTTGGGATTGTTCAGTCAAAGTTACATAATGATCATCTAATGATACCAATCTAAGCAGAGCTGCACATCATAATGAGTCAGTGGGAGGGTTTCAGTGTGAGTCTCTGGGGTTCAGTGGAGCCAAGTGGTCTCCATGGTGCAGCCTGCCGGCACAATGATCTGGCATAAAGCTGGTTATCTGTGCTGACAGCTGAGTGGATGTTGGGAGCTTTAGCACGGCAGAATAAACACCTTCAGTGTGTGATTGAACAGAGCTCTGAGGCTGCAGCTTATTTGTTTATGACTTGTTTGTGTCGGTGGCCGCCTGCCAACCTGACACCACTTTAAACACGTTATTTACCACTACATGAAAACATGAGCCCGCTGCAGGGCCTGCACGGGCATCCAGTTGGCATGATGATATCACACAGCCCGCTGGTGCTGAGCCGCTGTGCAGCTGGAACGGGAGCAATCTGACAAATGACAGGCTGCATGGCGCATTGGAGACGCTTTAAAGTTTAAAGCACGGGGCGGTGCGGTGCGGCGCGGTGCGGGGTGTGTGCGCCTTACCTCGGGATGCAGTTCGGGGAGGATCCGTCTATCTCCCAGGTTGCAAACAGGTTCATGGGGACCGGTCTGTTGAGCGCCCCGCTCCCGGGGAAACTCAGCCGGCCACTTCTCTCCGCCATGGTCAGGGCTGCGGGTGGGACTGTCCGACACCGAGCTGGGGATCTGTAAACAGCAGACCGGTGCGGGTCTTCTGTGTGTGCGCGTGCGAGTGTGTCCGTTAAAATCGAGCCGTGACACGCTCACGTTAGTGCGATGTGAGCGGCGCAGGACCAGCTCATTTCTCCGTCCTTGTGGAGCCGGGCGGGTCGGTGAGGTGCTCCTGTGCCGCGGAGGAACTGCAGTGGGAGCAGAGAGGAGTGAACAGACCGACCGCTGAGCTTGTTGTGCCTACCACGCTGCTCCGGGTGTATGGAGGGTGATTAGTGCCACACAGAGGGGGGAGGAGGGGAGGCAGGAAGAGCCGGCATACACAGGGTCCGTCCCAAGTCTCTTAAATTACTGCTAGTGCTACTGCTAGCCGACTTTGCTAGCTGTTTAGCCCCTCCCACCTAGGAAAAAATGTGAGGAGCTAGCGCTAGGAGCGATGAGCGAGCATTGTCGGTTTAAGAGACATGAGACATCCTTTCCACTGTAGCGTCACGTGAAGCGACGTCCATTCCTGATGATGGAGGCACAGCTGGATCTGCTGCATAACGGAGCCAGCGTCTGGCGTACATCCCAAGTCACATTATATTTGCTGATCAAAGCCGTAACGTCATGACTTTGGTCACACACTTTTGCATGTATTACCATTGTTATTGAGTCATTTGCCGAAGTTTGTGGCAATTAAAGAACGGTCTGTAGCCCTGCCACTGTCACTGTGATGAGCATCATTATCATTATTATTATCATTATTATTAGCCTATCACTATTATTAAATCCACTCGCCATCATTCAGCAAGTCAGCTGCTGAGTGACTACATCAGACCTGTCAGTCTGCCTCATTCAATTCAATTTTATTTATAAAGCCTAATATCACAAATCACAATTTGCCTCACAGGGCTTTACAGCATACGACATCCCTCTGTCCTTTGGACCCTCACAGCTGATCAGGAAAAACTCCCCTAAAAAAAAAACCCTTTAACGGGGAAAAAACGGTAGAAACCTCAGGAAGAGCACGAGGAGGGATCCCTCTTCCAGGACGGACAGACATGCAACAGATGTCGTACAGAACAGATCAGCATAATAAATTAACAGTAATCCGTATGACACAATGAGAGAGAGACAGTGACAGAGAGAGATGCAGGACAGACGGCAGTAGCTTACAACAACATGAAAGTAATAATATTAATTAATATTA